TTGCTAAAAAAATTAATTAATTAAATCTTCCAATGAACCATTTAAGAAAATGCTTTTGGATCAATTTAAACTACTTGATTTCAATTTTAAGTCAAAACTTTCAATTAGATTTCTCAAGAAACACATTTAACCTTTAAGCGTAACGTTTTATTGTGTTTATTATCTTAAACTGTAGCTTGAAAGCAAAACAAATCCAGTGGGACAATTAAAACAATCCTGCTCAAATGAATTCATGTTTGACTTTTGACCGAGGGTGCAGAATGGCCGGATCTGATTACCGGCTATCTAAAAGTCAAAACTTTCGGCTGGCAGTTGCAAGTGGAGGAAGACTGGGCCAGCACAGCCAACCCGCTGATTGCATGTCGCCTTGGAAAAGCTGAAAATCGTGTTTCCGTTTTCCCTCGGCCAAAAGCGACTTTAATGGCAGCTCAAGTGCCGACCGAGCGAAACTTTTTTGTTAGTTTAGTTTGTATTCTCTTATATAGTTTTTTTTTTATTATTTTTTTGTGGGGGAAAAATATGAAAGCCCTTTGGGTGCAGAGAAAAGCGTTTTTCAAAAGGCTGAGGACCAGAGCCGTTTTTGCATTGATGATGCTGCAGGTTTTCCTCGTATTTGCAATCGATGATGTGTGTTCCCCAATTTTATGGGACAGCCTTCGCAGCGGCTCACCTCGTATAGTAAACTCGTATCCGCTTGAACAAAGCCGGAGAACCGGAGAGCCAAAGAACCGGAGATGGAGAGATGGAGCCGTGACGCGAAAGTTACGGACATGTTGGGCCGGTTACCCAGACCCCCACCTTTTGACAAGGGCATAATTAAAGCATAACAGCAACAAAAACGCCAAAGTGGGCGGGGCTCGTCGGATCCACCGCCCCTTTACCTCCCCCCCCACTTTCATCGTCGGCGGCGTAAACCCACGAAGTACGGGGTGAAAACAGGTTGTTACTTCCTTGCAAACAAGGTTCCGTTACCGTTATGTATACGGCCACATCTACATCTGCATATATATGCATGTCGGTGAGTGTACTGGCTACACTTGTGTGCGGGGGCACAGTTTTGGAAAAAATAATAGCGCTGCAAATGAACATTTTATTATCTCACCACTGGTGCGCACACTTAAGGGTTTTGGGCCAGGATAATATAAACGTAAATAATTAATTATGTTTTCTTATGAAAGATTATATTCCACAGCTAGCACGACATAGACACACAGGGCAACTTCGTTTAAGGGACTGTTGTTTATACAACTTTGCATATTAGGTTTAAAAGTTGAAGGAAAAAATTTAGTTAAGTGTTTTTTCAGGTACAATTTATTGGTATTTACAACTTATTTTTAAAATGTTTAGGAATTATAGATTTTAAAAGACTAATAAATGATACAAATTAACAACTCAGACTGAGCGAATATTTATTTTAAAGACAACTCATTTCTATTCTTCACTTCCTGATTGTACATTTTAAGGACTAAAAATAGATTAATCCTCCTATAAGATACTCGAACGCTTTATAAAGGAAAGATTTTTGAAACTCAATTTTAATAATAAAGGTAAGTTTCAACTATAATTTGTTTGAATTTACACTGTGTGCTCATTGTTCAACACATTATGAATTATAAACTTACGTTTACCTTCTAAAGAATAACTTTATAACTTCATTCGGATTCTAATTCAAACTTCTACTTCTAATTAAGTACAGTGCAGCAAATCAAACTTGCGCCACAAGTACTCATCGCAAATAGAGCCTTAAACAAACTTTCAGTTGTAGATTCGCCGGCTTGAGTATCTCTAGCCGTAATAGCCACTTCAACTGTTTCGACTTACAGAGACTTTGATTTAGGAAAGTTTCCGTCTGAGAAGTTCGACTGTATTTAAGGGCGAATTCCCGATTGCTATTTGGCTGACCGCACCTGTGGGCACAGGTGTACGAGTATGTATTGCTATGAGCTTGGCGTATAAAAGAAAGCACGTTATTGCCAATTTAACTTACATTGTGCATGTGTCTTTAAACAAAGATTTATGTACCCACTTGCATGCACGCCGTTGCCCAGGACCTCAAGTTCCCGGCCCGCGATTCTCGTGTAGCATACATTTGTGGGCGACTTTTTCGAGGATGGAGAGCTAAAGGAGGGTAAATGAGGGGGGGATTGTGGTTGCGGATGTAGTGGTGGTGAGGTCAGGTGTATGGGCAATAACTCGCTATGGATGGGAACGTGTGGTGTGGTGCCCACTTAAATCAGCATAATGATATGCACTTATTGTTGTGGCAAATTTGTTACGGAAGTGCTGCGAAAACCGCACAGGATGGGCCCCAAAAACGGCGAGCCCTAAAAACCCGGTGGCTCCTCCTAATCCTCAAGATCCCCGGCTCAAGATCCTGGGGATCCTGCGGGGTGAGCTCACCTTGTCACCCCGTCCGCATGTCGATGTCGATTTCTTCATTTGCCTAATACGAGTCGACGCCATCATTAATCTAAAATATGGCCAACACACACGCACACACGCACACATACTCCCACGCACCCACACGCATGGCGTGCATGTAATTATGCTGGAAACAGTGGTGTGGAAAGGGGGGTGGGGGCAAGAGGGGGAAGAGTATGTGGAAGGGGGTTTTCCCACCACAGAGACACACATTTGCGTAAGCCTTGTTAATCGTGACAAAAGCTTATTGCGGGTTATTTGGACTACTTGTTTCGCATCCGGCGTTGGCACAACGAAAATCAACATTGCCACATGTAAATACATATATATACGTTCATTCCGTACAGATGTCTGCGCACAGAGAAACAAAAACCCAGTATTTCCATCCCAAAGCGGTTACACGCAGCCAGGATTTGATTTCGTGTTCGCATGATTAAGGATTTTATGTCAACCCGGGAAAATGTTTCAAATAAAGGGCTTACGAATTTGTAAAGTGGTTTGCACCATAATGCTCATATCCCGAATTCGGTTTATGACAGAACTCGTTGGCGAAATGATGTTGATCAACTGATAATACTTTGTATATATCTTATATTTTACAAACTTTATCTTAAACTATTTCGCATAAAAACTAAATTGTTTTACTATAAATTTCCTTTTAAATAAACGTGTGGTACAATTTTCAGTTTCAAGTTCATTAAAAATTAAAATGATTGAATTGATTTATTAATATATTTAAAAATGTATATGACCTGTTTTTCTGTCTTTCCATTTGACATGTTGAAGTTTGATTGTTCTCTCGTTAAAGTAAATATGAAAAAAAGACCTTTTAAATTTGTAAACATAAATTCCGTACATATTATATTTGTGACAATTGTTTTGAACAGTTTCCCGCATACTGAACCCAGTTTTCTGACAGTGCAGAGTTATGTGTGCGTATTGGCCTGTCGGTTGGGCCTGTCATCTAAGAGGGGAAGAACGGAGCTCGCGTCACTTGCACACATAATAAACATTTTAAACATTATTCTCGTGTTAAGCAGCTTCTTGGATTGGCGCTGCCGCTGTTGCCATGGCGTTGCTGCTGTTTATGCTGCTGCTGCTGCTGCTGCTACTGCTGCTGCTGCTACTTCTGGTGTTGTTCGTTTTCGGTGAAATTTACGGGTTTCAACGAATAATGGTGCATGTGGGAAATGAACGTTTTGTGTTCGCTTTTGCCTGTCATCGCAGCCACGCAGCAGAATCCGCTCGCACAAACACTCGCACATTCCGAAACATTCGCCACTTTATCAGCATTTTACTTTAGCCGTTATTACCAGAGATCCACTCACAGTACATTAGCACACCCACACATACACTCACACTCACACACACACAAGTCCGCACAGCATTCCAGCACTCCAGCGAGCAAGCACACCACTACATTACAGTCCTTACGCATGTAAGTCTCTACGAGGTTGCGACTCTCCAAGGAAATTAAAAAACAACTAAAACAAATTAACAATATAATGACAAAAGTCTTATGTGAACTGTGGGTAAGGAGCAGCCTTCGAAAAGATGGAAAGCGGAGGGAGTAGGCCTAAGAGCAGGCGAACGAGGAAATGGAAAAACACGCGGAGAAATATTATTTCCATAATTCCATACACCTGTTTTTCATCAAATTATTCAGGCCACATTTTTAAATAATTAATTCACATATGGTCTAGTAATTAACATTCCAAACTCAAACAACCAATTTAACTAACTAAATGTTCTGTTAGATCATTATTCACCAATGGAAACCAACTTTTTTTTTAATAATTTAAGCTATTGCTGCTCCCGTGGTCAAGGCATTTATAAGCTACCGGATTGCCATGGAAATATTTTGACTGTGTAGCCAGAACTCAAGACCCTGGATTAAGTCTCGCAGCTAAATGGCAAATCAAGCATTTGCACAAAATTGAATTACCTACCCGGGCATCTGAGTTTGCAGGCCCATTACCAGTAGTCAAACCACCCAATTTCCCATTCCCGCCGCCCATTCCCCCCACTCCCCAAATCGTGTATAAACCGCACCCCACTGGCTGCTCCGCCCACGTTAAGTATACGCCATGGATTCGGAGCAATTGGCACTTTTGCAATGGCAACCGGGAATGGCAACAGCAATGCTTTTAATGATGATCGATTTGGGTAAACAATGAAATTTCCGCATTCAAATTTTATTGCTGGCAATCAGCGAGGCTTCCTGCTCACAAACGCACACAAACGGGCGTCCATATGCCGGATGGGATATTTATATACGATGCGCTTTAATATTAATCTATGGCGCAACGCCTATTTGCTGTTTGTCGGCTAAATTCGCTGCGAAATTGAATGATGCACGTTGTCATTGAAATTAGCATATAACATGTACATTATCGCACTCGGCGAGGCAGGCAGTTCAAACAAGTTGAGTGTTTGTGCGTAATGAAATATTTATTAGGCAGGGATTAAATTTAAATTATGGGGGTGGGACCAGGCTGGATTCTTAATACTAGATGAAAAAAGGCGCTAAGAGGTATTTCGGGCAAACGGTCTTACTAAGAGAAGTAAACAAACCTAAAGCCTTGCCATCCGGTTTGGTGAACACGTAGTGGCTACTCTGCCTTGTATTTACTAACAAAATTACCTGTTCCTTAACCGTTCTTGCGAATCAATTAAGCCTTAAGCGTCAGTGCAAATAGCTAAGTGTGCAATTAGTAATCAGCGGTCGATAAACGGAATTGGCTTCTAAGTACCGCGTAGAACGACAAACAGCTGGCGCAGACGGAGACACATTCCAATGCACTTTCTCCCAAAGAAAACCCGTCGAGCGGCTTATTTGACATCCATTCCGATATCAATACAGCAATACAGAGAAATAGAGAGAAATAGCGAGAAATAGAGGCCACAAGAGCACCTGTGTAGCGACAGCAGCAACAACAACAGCTAAAAGTTGATTGCCATCGTCTTGTCTTGGCCGTTTTATTGGGCATTATAGCCGAGCAGTCACATACCGCCCGTTCTCGAGTTCGCCACGATTCTAAAGCGTTTTTGCGTTTGCGTTTGCAGAGCACTCCCAAGAATTCGTAATTTGCATATATAGAACCGGAGATATATGCAGAGATTCTACCTGGGCGTAGCATGTTCAACGAACTGAGTCAGCCGCCTTGAAATTCAGCGCTAAAAGTGAGTTTCTAAGATACCAATCGTACCCCGAATTTCTAATGTCTTTAGTCGACTTCTTAGCGAAAACAGGATGGCTTCGATTGTAGAGAAAGTGCGTCGTGTTTTGGATGCCAAAGATCTGGGGGACATCACTTCGGAGCTGTGTGACTTTTCGCTAAAAGAACAAAATGCCACGGCAGAAGCTCAAGGAGTACAGCCCTCGTCCACGTCCGATTTCGTTCCCGTTCTCGGCCAGACAGTCACCTATATTGTGGCCTGTGTGCTGATCAACGAGCACGACGAACTGCTCATGATCGAGGAGGCCAAACAGAGCTGTGCAGGTAAGTGTGGGTGAAGCCCAAAACCACAACTCTTAAGTCCGCTAACGTTGCACTCTATTGACCAGGAAAGTGGTACTTACCCGCCGGCCGCATGGAGCGCGGGGAATCCATTACGGAGGCAGCCGCCCGGGAAGTTTTTGAAGAGACCGGCCTTAATGCCGAGTTGACGACTCTATTGGCCGTGGAAGCAGCCGGTGGCTCTTGGTTCCGCTTTGTGCTCACGGGTCGCATCACCGGAGGCCGACTTAAGACCCCAGCAGATGCCGATGCCGAATCCATCCAGGCCAAATGGGTGCGCAGTCCCAAGGACGTGCCCCTCCGGGCCAACGATATACTCAACATCATTGAGATTGGTCGAGCCTATCACCAGGGACAGAAGATTGCGATTACCCCTTCGCCCTGGCATGGAAAAATACTGCCCACGCGCTTCTCCCACAAGCGAAACTATCTGCGAGTTCTGGCAGTTGCTCGGAAACGTGCCCACAACTCCCTCAACATTCTGGTGAGCGAAAAGAATGCCCATCACTTCCCGACGGTGGAACTGCATCCGAATCGCAGCCTGCACTCCACGTTGCGCAAGTTTATGATTGAGATTTTTGGCGCCGAGCTGCCGCAACATCGGCCGCATGGCTTACTCAGTGTGGAACATTCGCCTTCGGAGGAGTCTAACTCAGATGGTATATGCCTGAATCTGCTGGTGGCCTTCCGACCGCCACTCGAAGAAATCTCGCTTATTGGCAAGTGCATTTGGCAGGAGCTGGGAGCACCGCTCGACGAAATGTTAGGACGCATTGTCAGCAGCAAGCATGCCTCCATTCCGCTGAACGTGGTGCGCTAATTGCCTTACACTTAAAAACTAGAGTAATCTGCCCCCATTCATGGTGCAAGCAATCTATTCGTTATTAGCTGCAATTAAAGACAACCCCTAACTGACTGTTATCCAATGTTTGCCTTTTTCGGTGCTAAGAACAGATTGCTTAAGATAGTAATGCGCTATCATATGATAACCTGTATTTAAATGTCTGCAAGATATTCCTACTACTTAATCTGTTTCAATTTCATGGTGAAAGATATAAATCTAAGGATTACTTGTTTTACATAGTCTAATCTATCGTTAGTTATTTGAAAAGTAAAGTTCGTACTATTATATAGTACCAATTAAAATATTCACAATTCATTTAATTGTAATGATATGCGCTGACTGAATTGGAACATAGCTTGCATTTCCCAATGTACCAAGAGTTATTCAATAACACGAAAATAATTTCAAACAGATACTTCAAATTTAATGCAATATTTAAAAAAGCTGTATAATTTTTTAGCCATATACCATTAATGTATACAGGGTATAAAAATGCCTTCTTGGAATATGCCACGGGTCTAAAAACTATTGCAACAGCCGACTAGGTCAAGGGGAACAGAGATAGAAATGCAGGATTGGACTTTGGGGAGGGGATGAACTAAGTAACTAAGTCGCACGATCGCCAGTTGCGGTTACACCCACACCTTGTTGAACAGATCCATGAAGGAGTCGTAGATCATGAAGGTGATGGCCACATCCAGACACACACGTCCCAATCGCGGCACTGTGCCCTTGTAGAAGGCAGCCGGACCTTCGTTCTTCAGGATCTGCAGTGCACAATGGGCGGTGTTCTTGTATTTGGAGGCCTCCAGGCCCTGCATCCTCGTCTTGACCACATCAAGTGGTGTGTTGCCAAACACCGAGGCTGCTCCAGCGATGGCTCCAAACGCACCCACAACCAGCTTGGGCACCGGCTTTTTGTGATCATCGCCCTTGTACAGATCCTTGAGCGACTCCAGCACAAAGAAGCGGATGGCCTGGTTGGAGCCCTGCTTCAGAATGGTGGCCGTCAGGCCCTTGTAAATGCCCGAAAAGCCCTCCGCCTTGATAATCTGACCAACTCCGTGGGCGAATCCCTTGAACTTGGGATTGGCGCTGCGCTGGTCATTGATAAACTTCACCTTTATGGTCTCCATCGGGGTAACGGCCACAATGGCCTCGCAGACACCAGCTCCCAAGCCGCAGAGTAGTTTTCCGGAGTTGCTCAGTTGACCGCGAGAGTCCACGGCATTCGATTTTAGGAACTCGAAGGCACCGAACCTGCAAACAAATATACATGTTATAAAATTAAAAATATAAAATATAGATTGCTAATAAGATTTTAATTATTTTTAGTTTTCCACAGTTTCGGCTTTGCTGAACAAGATTTTTACTTTCAATCGATTTATTATTATATTTCATGAATAAAAAATGGCTTGACTTTTTTATTTTAACAGCAGCTTAAAATATCTTTATAAAACTTTAGAATTTGCACCTTTAAAAACTTTTTTAATTACATAACATTAGGAAAGCACTCACCTTGCCGCCGATTTTGGAATGCTGCCGTAGACGAGCACACTGAGACCTCGGTAGAGACCAAGGAAGCCGCGCTGCTGCACGGTCTTTTTGACACAGTCGAAGATACCGTTGTACTTCTTGCCCGCTCCCTTCTCGTCCAGCTGCAGTTGAGTCTTCACGTACTCGGTGGGATATGTGATGCAGATCTCGATTCCGCCCGTAATGCCGCCGGCTACGATGCCCTTGAGGCCCACCTGACCGCCGGCAGCGGCCGCAGCTCCATTCTCCGTCATCCATGGACGCCGGCGGTAGGGGCTGACCAGGGTCGAGATGGCCGAACGTTCCATGCTGACTGGGCGTTTGTTGGGGAATTAGCTGCCGAAGAAATTGTATGATCAGTGTTCCTTTCTGGAGCAAAGCTCGTTTTTGTTTCCCCTTTGGATTCCAGATATTTTATATTGTGTCGAATATAGGAACCATTGTTGTTGACGGATCAACAAAAATAAACTCATTTTTGTGGGGGTGCAGCGGTTCTCAAAATAGATATTGTTCATCAAAACAAATAAAATTGACAGCAATTACAAATATCACAAAAAAAAAGTTTTTGAATAAAATACGAGATCGCTATAAACTTTCATATGAATTCGCAAGCAAAATTTATGTCTAAATTGCAATTGTTCCCGTGAATCGAACTGCCTATACCAATATTGACCTTAATTTCTGTATCAAATGTTTGCTCAAGTGCAGTTCTGCTTTACTTATGCAATTGTCTATGGGGAAAACGTTTAATAATTTAAAACTAGATGTTCTGCGTTTCAATCAGTTTGGTTTTTTGATAATCAGTGCTATCTTTGTTGGCTATTTCCATTAGTGTAATCAATGGAGCTCTCTCTCTCCATTCCCTCTGAACACATTCATTTATCGCCCAAAATTTCACCTTGGGGACAAGGTTCAAAACAAACTATAACACAAGCACAAAGAAACATAAAATATTTGAAAATCTCTCTAGTTCTAGTGATTACTTAAGATCGGCTGATATAGGCAATGTCTGACGGTTTAAGTGGGAGCGGTACAATATCAGCAGGGAACTCGGGTTCGCTCTTTCCACTTGACAGTTCATATTGTTTTTAGCACGATTACATAACTTTTGCATGACCATAAATAATAATAGGAAAATTTAAGTTTATAATCACTCATTTGGCGTTGTTTAAGCCACTTTACGTATCGGTTGGAAATCTGGATAAACATAAACAATGCCTACTGATAAGATGGCGCTGGAAAGTGTCTAACGGCTATTACTCGCACACAAGCTGGTGTGATTAAACCCACTTCCTCGCACACAAGCACAGTGCTTCTTGCAAACGTTGCAATTAATTTTTGCTCATGGAGAATTGGCCCCGGTATCCAATATTTTGTTCTCTCTTACTACTCACGTTAGAATGCAAAAAACCGAAATAATTAAATTTTTGGAATGCCCAGCAGCAAAGAGAAGGCGACAGAGAGAATGGCGATCGTGGGCAGCGGTTGGATCTCAACTGATCGGTACTACAAAAAAAATTCCATTTTCCAATCGACGAGCGAAAGCGTGTACAGTACTCCCTCTTAAAAGTGAACTACCCATGAAACATGTTTTTGACTTAAAAACAGTTCCGAGATATCCTATATGCCTATAGCCTTATATGTTTAGATATATTGTTTCACCAGCGGTTTCTATAAGTACACACCTTTGAGTGACCACTGTAGTTCCAATGGTTGATGATTTGTAAACAACAGCTCTCCAGGGAGCGGTATCCACTCTCCCCGCGCTCAGTAACTTACACAGAAAACAATTTTGTAAGATTGATTTTAGAATTTTAATCTAGTACAGAGAAGATTAAAAGCTAATAACTCTAACTTGATTCAGTTGGCAATCATTTCTTTATAAGAATTTATAAAAACTTATATATTATTCCTCAAAGAGGTAAATATGTTGCCAGAAAATATAAAAAAAATGTATCCTAATTATTTGACAGCCTTTTTAACCCTCTAAAACAGTTTTCACTAAGAACTTTTCGTTCTGTGCAGAGAGTGGGGAAGAGCGAGCGACAAAGTAACGGCCATGGCGCGATACGGTTTTTTTGCTGACACCACTGTGGAGATCTCTCTCTAATCGGAAACCCGTTTGGAACCCCAACATCAAACTGGACAGAGCTTTCGGTCTGGAAAAGCTCCAGCAAAGAACAATAACAAGAACCTTTGACTTTGTATTTTGAATTTGAGTACGCCGCAAAGTAGACCAACTTTTTTCTCCACAGCGATTACACAATAAACTCACACAGACAACACGCGTAGTTCACTCACACCCACGCGACGAGAATTTTATATCCAGGCTATCAGGCCATTAAGTGATATAATAATAAAATCGACAAAGCGGTTATCGTTTTTAATTTATAACGTCTGATTGCCAACTCTTGTAATGTTTACTATTTACCAATTGACGCAACTCGGATATGGGTCCATGTGGATGTACGTATTTCTAACGCTGCCGGCAAACGGTGAGTGTTAACAGAAACGCGGCTGAAAGTGTGGCCGTGCAGCTAACTGTCCGGTGATAAAAACTGCGCATGCGCCGGGCCTCCAATTTCCACAAATGCCACCCACACTTGTAGGACAGACAACAGTCGCAATCAACAGAACCATTCACAATACAAAAGATCCCACAAGTGTGGTATTTCATTCTCAATTAACCAGGGCGGCTGAAGTCGCAAATGAATCGCACCGGAAACGCGTGGGAAGAGCATCCCCAAAGTAAAGAACAGGAACAGTTAAACATCCATACAAACTATACCTATCCAAATTCACAGTAGAACCTTTAAAACTAATACAATAAAAGGTAAAACAACTTGACTGTTAAAATGTTGTCTTGGTAAATCTTTGCCTATCTTAATATGATCAAAATATGTAGAACAGTTTTCGCAATGTTAATTTGATCATTAAAATTATAATTGTATTAATAGATCATTACTAATTTTTAAGATGGATTGTTCTCTAAATTACATGAAATCCAAGCACGACAGCATAATGCCGTCATAAAAGATTCTACCCATAATGCTTTAGGCCATTTTGACCTATTTAATACCCTACGTATACTTACTATGCGGCAATGGTGGTAACAACAAAACAAAAATGGTGAACTTTCTTTACTTTTTCTAATTGAAACTAAATTTTAATTTTCGTGGCAAAGCACAGTTTTTCAGTTCACGATCATAGATGCTGGCAAAGCAGAGGAAAGCAAAGACAGAAATTGTAAAGCACTTCAGTGTTTCAGTTTATTCAAATGCATTTGGAAATTGGTTCCCCGAAAGTGAGGGGAATATTCTCACCTACACCGACTTCGGGTGTACGGGTGCGATTATAAATTAACATTTCTCTGAGCGTGCAGATCCATTTGGTTTAGTTTAGTTTACTGTTAGTCAATAACAATAGTGGCTATCTGAGTTAGTAGTCGTTTGGTTATAGATATAGATCAGTCATGGACAGCTGCCGGATTCTTAGACGGCCTTGTAGACGCGCACGCACTTCACGCTGCCGATGGTGAGGGTCTGTGGGTAAGGGTTTTCATACGGATCAGTAAGGGAAGAAGGGAAGATGGTGTAGGTTCTTCAGAGGGAAGTACTCACGGTGATCAGCTCGCCGTCGTTGAACTCGCGGACAATGGTGGTGGGCTTGTCGCCCTTCTGCTCCTGCGTCAGCTTGTTGCCATCCAGGGTGATGATGCTCTTCACGTTGCGTCCGTCGAGGGTCTCCTCGTCGAACTCCTCGCCCAGCTTGAAGCTGATGGCGGAGGTCTTGAAGGTGGAGGTGGTGGTCAGGGTGTAGGTGTCACCCTCCTTGGTCACCTCAACGGTGGGGCTCAGGCTGTTGCCCATCTTGCGCGTCACCAGACCAACGCCTGCAAGCATAATATATATAAGAGAAATATTCAGAAATAAGTAACGAGCAGGGAATGGGAGGAAGGTGAAGAAATCAAAAATCGGAATGAAAGATGAATTATGGGCAGACTGCACATAATTGAATTAGCCCAACAAAGTTGGGGACCCCAGAGCGGTCACAATGCAAATCATATCATATTTAATTAAAAATAATAAAGCCGAGTCATGAAGTTCCCTGCAGACTCGGTTGGAACGTCAAAAGTCGTGCTCAAGGTTAACGAACAATGCGGGCTCTCGTCTCCTCCGCAGTCTACGGGCTTATCAATTGGCAAGCCCCACTATATATAGATCGAACGAGGCAGAACCTTATCTCACTGTTGCATCCCGGATTTTGTTGCAGAACGGAATAACAACACATATGTGATTGAAACATAAAAAATATGTGTATATCTTTCGAAAAAAAAGGTTCTTGATTATTTAATTCTGTACAATCTTGGGGGTAAAGTTGTTCAAAAACACATCTCTTCACTTTTAAATCGTAAATGTTTGAAGTACTGATAGCTTCAAGCCAATAAGTAAGTAATAAGTACCATCGAAAAATAAGCAAGATAATTTGATCATTAAAAGATTGTCAAGGGGAAACAATCACTCAACTGTGTACAAATAATTACCGGCAATATAAACTTTATTTTGCAATAATTACCCGTCTTAATAATCACTAATAATTATTCAACCATAATACATTTTAAAACCATTTTGTTCTTCAAACATTGTGATTTCATTTCAAGTTAAATTTGTAAGTTTGTCTTGAAACGTTTGCAAAATTTAAATAAAAAATAATAAGAAATGAATCATTCGATGAGTATACAAAACAGAAAAATATCGAAAACATTTTGTATCTAGGCAAAAACCCTTATGACGAACTGTTTCTTTGTGACCTGTATTATTACGAATCTAGAACATTGCCCAACCATCAAACCATCGGGGGGTCCAATCAATTATGTTCAATTATGTATGGACCACATACCCCCCCACAAGCTTTTACTTTTCTCAAGTCCCCTTTGAGTCAAGTGTCAACTGTCGTCGCGCGATAAGTTCCCACTCATGGGAACCCGGCAACTGTACCAGAGATCGATTTATATGCATCGTATATGACAGAACCTTGAATAGATTAGACTGGCCCCTGCAATTACGAACAATGGTCTGCGATAGGGCTACCTGCCCAAAGTGCAAAATCCGTAATCGCGCCTAATTATTGTGCCCATTGCCATATACAAGCATATAGTTTATCGCATTTTATACGACAGCTGATAAGTGCTGCGAGGCCCCAACGACAGTTCGATTTGGATTTGTTTAAGTTTGAAAGTTGAGAAGTACGTGGCTCTGGGAACTAGTCTAGCATTAAAACCGAAACCGCAAAAGAGTAGGCGAAAAGTTCTGACGAACCAGGGTCTGGTAAAATAAATCCGAACCTTAAAGCGGCGCGCCATCTCTGGTTTCCAAACGTATCCCCCCATTTGGCGTCTAGACAGGCGCACAAACCAAAGATCATATTTATTGGTTGATATTAAAAAGTACTAACAAGTTTACGAGACATTTTAATGTTCGGTGAATTTTATTTTCAAGCCTTAAGGGATCTTAATGGTTTCGTGCAGATTAAACTGACAGCCGGACCAAAGATCACTGCAAAAAGCTTTAAGTAGGTGCAAAGGTCGGTGAGAAACTTTCCCCCAAAAATCTAGTACACAGATATACGACAGGTGTCGCAAAAGCTAATGTCATGATGGTGCCATGGAAAACAGTTAGAAGTGAGTCAAAATAGGGAGCGAAGTTCGGACATAAACTTAATTAGTTTTTGGGTTTATGACTCCAGAAGATAAGCTATAACGGATTTTATACTTTTTGCACTCTTATTCGTAACGTTACCGTAAATTGGGGAGGAAGGTAGAGAAAACAACTGGAACACGTTTTTTTTTCCTGCAGCGTGTGCATCTCTTTTTCGCTCCTGCTCTCATATTGATTTTCATCTCACACAAGCACACACAAATAAGATGTATTTAGTGCGGATGCCAAATTATAAAATGCATGGAAAATGCAATAACAATGAGATCATTATGTCTTTATTTATAAAGAAATCTTTTCACTACATCGCCACGGATGTGCCCCTTGAGGTTTTGCACACTAGTGCGAAAAATGCCGGCCGGTCGATTTCGGTGGCGTGTTTTCGGCTTCTTTTCTCTCCCTCCTCGCTCTTTTCACCACTTTATTTTTATTAGGTTATTATCTAATTTTACTGCATTGCGGACTAATATTTTGGTTTTTTGTGCACTCACCCAACTCCTTCATGTACTCATCGAAGTTCTCGGACTTGTCCAGCTTGTATTTCTTGCCAACGAAAGCCATTTTTAGAGGATTAGTCTGTGTTTCGGCACAAAATGTTCACTTTGAAAATTTTCGGAGCGAATAAAAAGCTCCACGACGCGCCGGCTGTTTTATAGTCGCGCGCTGCGCTGCGGCGTTGCCAGATTCAGAGAATCTGACCACTCGCTCTCTCCCTCTCTATCACTCTCTATCGCTCACAGTGTGGCACGGCTTTTAAATTTTTGTTTGTTTGCTTTTGGATGCTTGTGAGAGTAAGCGGAAACATTTAATGATGAGGCATCGAGTGAGGATCGGCTTACCAGATGCAAAAATCCAAGTACAGCCGCCAAGGTACAGGAATGTCGGCGCCAAACATACAAAGATCTTACATAAAGCAGCTTTTTCAGGCGCTCTCCGAAAAATTTTAACGGTTCTATGTATTCTATGGCCGTATAGCTATTGAGCCACCGTACATCAGCCCCTCTCCGGATATTGCCCTCCGTATAATGGGTCCTACGTGTTGCTGTTACCCAGTGTCTGACTCGGACCAGCCCTCTTGCACCTTGGCGTGACCGCTTGGGTGCAGCCTTAATTGATTCAAAGATACCGGCCTAATAACGGACGCCTCATTGTCATTGAGACATCTGTATTGCAATAGTTGTCCCAAATATAGTTCAAGCTTTATTTTGACGCGAACTTTGTACTTCACCAAAAAATATATACAATTCATTCTTAGGGTGCAAAACCCAAAATATGCAACCTAAAATAGAAAGCATTTAATCTTAGCTGACCGTTAAAACCTTAAACTTTTAAATTCTTACCAAAACACACTTTAATTTCACTTAAATTATTTGCTTGTCTTCGGATTAAAGTTTTCCCCAAAGTGGCGTCATCGAACATGTAAAGGTTTTTATTTTAAGAAAAATTATATTTTAAACTTGTATATGTAGATGTAGATGAATGTTTTTAAATGGAACTGAGTCTCGATTGTGAATCCGCAATTCATGCCAAACTTATCCATAGCCACTTTATTGTATTAGTAACATGTGCATGTGAATAAAAACTTTCGACACAATATTAAAGAATTGTAATCTAATCTTCCACCCAGGGCCGTATAATGCAATATTGAGAATACGCACGATCCGTGGCCCCATTCCCTGAAACGCCCCACCTACATGCATACCGCATTCGTTTGTTGCTATGTGTTATCTTATTAATTCAATTAACAATCCGGGAGCTTCCTCCCAGTATTTAATATCCCGTAGTCTTTTTTTCCACGCTTGCAGTTGAGATTTGTATGATTTCTTATACCCTTGCTAAAGGTACTTTAATTTGCAGTTGAGATTTGCATGCTTTCTTATACCCTTCCTAAAGGTACTTTAATTTTAGTCAAAAGTGAAGTGAAGTGCATGGCAGTAAATGAGACACATCGTATATACATTTTTGATCAGCATCTAGGTCTGACTGTTTTCGCGCAAACAAGTCTCTTAGTTAAAAAAAGTAATGATAGAATTAACTATTGCACATATTGCAGATATGCCGACGCATTAGGGATCAGACGACTTTGTCAAAAGTTCCTCTTATTTCGCTGAATCTACCTATTTGAAAAGTATCGACTTTATTGAAAACATTTTGTATAAGATCGGACTTTCAATAGTATACTTTTAGGTATATAAGTACCTCTGAAGCCCAAAGGTATGTATGGAAAATTGAATAATATTTATGTTAAATCGTTATTTTTTGATATCCACAGTTTCCTAAGTTACCTTTTTGATTTTCGAAATGTAATACATGAATGTCAACTTGTTAAAGCTAATGAGTTTCTGGTTACCAACAGATATAGTAAACGAAACGTCCAGGTTAAGAAATTAATATAATGTTTGCTTGGCCGATAAAACGCGTATCATTTATAACTGATTACACGGGCAAAGTGTCATGCAAAACGGGGAAAACACCCGTTGTAGGCCTGCTTATCAGCCGATAAAAGATATCACAAAGCCCCAAGAGAAAAGAGAGCGGTGCCCACAGCACTTGAAGAGATATCGTATATTGAATGCAAAGAGCGCCAATAAAAGATATCTCAAAGCCCCAAGGGAATAGAAAGCGCCAAAGACCGCCAAAGAGGGTTAAAAAGCATCAAAGAGCGCCAAAGAGCGCCACACCGATCTTAACCTGTCTCAATAACCGCAGAGAGCAAAGAGTATTCAATGGGGCAACTATAAAAGATGAGGCGCGAGAGAAAAGTCCATTAGAGAGAGGTGGACCGTCGGGGTGAGCACATCGTCGTGGGTAGAAAATCTGTTACTGCCATGTGTGCTTCTATATATTTTCGATAAGTTCGTGGCGCTCCATCCAATAAAGCATACGCGGATTCAACGCAATCGGTGACGAAATTCGGCTGTAACAAATAGAATTTGCCTAGTAACTCAGAGTGGAGTGATCTTTGAGCCTCGATCGCGCAGCATTCCCGATCGAGCGGTAACAAATCCGAGTGCCACGCAATATTACCTGCATAGTGACAGTGGAAAAGTTTACTCCCTTTGGGCGTGAATAGAAATCAAAATTTGGATCTATAGAGTCGCTCGCATTTCCATCTGGTTTCTCCCCTGCTAATGCCAAACTAATTATATTAGTGCCAAGCGCGTGTCCCCCTTCGGATTAAAAAGTGCTAATCGTCTGCGGTCGCCCAAAGATAATTCCCGGCCGCCAAACAAGTCTGCTGTAATGCAACACTCTATATAGTATCAATTAATTCCAATCAGTGCAATATACGGCATCCATCATGCAGTCGATGAAAGCCGACGAACTGCCGGAGAATCCGCGGGAGCGTTCCAATCCCCTCTCATCGCTATTTTTCTGGTGAGTTAACCGAGTGGACTTTATAGCCTTCTAGGGTATTCCCGAAAGAAATTTGTATTTTTGTTAAACTAAAGCAACGTGTTCAGTGGTTTTCATTGTGATAAAATGTTTAAAAGGTTACACATACATATGATTAACCTTAAAGATACTTGTTTTGTATCTGTCTAATAATAGAACCGCTTAATATACCATTTTGTATTATCTCATTGTTGTGAAATACACTGAGGAACCACAATGTTTAAACTGAAAATAGTTCTTTCATGTGATTAAATCTGTGATGATAAGAAAAAACTGTCCCATTGATGAGTTTTAAAGTTACTTTTTTGTTGTTGTGCTTTGATTGATGAAAAAGGGGTTGGGAAGCAAACAGCATGACAAAACTGACAAGTTGATTATTTCATTCAATGGTTCGTTTAATTTACACGCCGAGGCGTGGAAATCTATTTGCAATTAACTGGAGCTTGGATCTTCACTCAATTGGTTACCAATTAAAGCCGACACTTTGAGCACTTTGGAGTGCCAAAGGCAGTAGAACAACAAAGTAACTTTAATATCCAAACGCGATAACAACTTAGGTGGAAAAAGTGCTGACAAGCTATATGAATCAGAGCTGTGCAAATGACGGAAAAACAAGCTGTTGACAAGAGGTGTGGGGTTATCCAAAACACTGGGACATTCTTATACGTAATACCTACATATCAGTCCACTCACATAAATTGATTTATAAAGACTTTCCATAACTGATTAGATTTCCCTATTGAAATCAAAAATTAAGTTGACGTCGAGCAAACATGTTGCACAGAAGAATTAAATTGATATGATTTGGTAAAGGCATTGAAAACTTAAATAGGGTAGATAAAATTCACTGGGAACTCCCCACTTGAAAACCTTCATTGTGTCTCGTTATCTTGAATTATTGAATGGAGTCAACAGAAACTGTTACTTCGAAAATATTTGCGCGTTGTTATCTATTACAATAGGCTTTTTGTCTACTACATATAAAAATAGAACGCTCGGCTTACAGACAGATTTAATTACTGATCTTTTTTATCGCTCAATTTATAGTTAGAAAACTGCATTTTATTTTGTTATATTATATATTGCGACATTGGCTAGCAACTGTTTTTTTTTCTGATAAGCCGCACAGAGTTTCGGTTTGTCTATTAATTTTTTTTGGTTGTCACAACATCACAAAAGAATTATCAGTATCAGTGGCTGATAACAGAGAGCCTACCGCTAATTATGTTTTTATTCTACTCCCAATAAAATCTATCTACGTGATGCTGCTACGTGACTCAACGAGAAGTTTTGCCATGCCGGTGTTATTTAAAGGGCGCAAGAAGACTTTGGAGCAAACGGATCTCTATCGGGCACTCAAAGCGCACAAATCAGGTGAGTTCTTCGATTCTTTGAAGTGTGCGTAACTCTTTTATTATTTAATGTGCATTTATAATCCGCAGACTCTTTGGGAGATCGCTTATCGGCTGCCTGGGATGAGCAGGTGGCCAAAAAGGAAACCCCAAGTTTGGGTCGCGCCTTGATCAAGGTATTTGGATTTCGGCTGTTCCTTACGGGCATTTCTCTATTTGCCCAGGAATTTTTAACCAAGTGAGTGGCTCGTGACAATATTTGTACCACAAATAATCTGAGCAGATTGAAAAATATCTATAATGGATATAAAATAGTAACCCAATGCTCCATAATGATTTTAAATTTTAATTTTACTATTTACTGGTTGCCAGATACTAATTGATCTCTTGTTCAATTTACAGAATCACCCAGCCCATTTGCTTGTTTGGGTTGATGGCCTACTTTGCCGGCAATGATCCGGACTTGAACAAGGCCAAGTTATATGCAGCGGGTCTTATCGCGGTTTCGGTGTTCGGTGTCCTCTGGGGTCATCCCTATATGCTGGGACTCCTTCATCTCGGCATGAAGATGCGTGTTGGTAGGTGGAGATTACTCTTTGAAATCCATATGTACTCAAGATAATCCCATTACTTGCAGCACTAAGTAGCCTAATTTACCGCAAGGCCCTGCGGCTTAGTAGAACCGCTCTGGGCGACACCACAGTGGGTCAGGTGGTCAATCTGCTATCCAACGACGTGGGTCGCTTCGATATGGTTCTGATCAACGTGCACTACGTTTGGTTGGCGCCGCTGGAACTGATTGTTGTCACCTACCTGATGTACAATGAGGTAAGTGGGTGGTTGCCAAAAGGGGAATGTTTCTAATCAAAACCTGAAACCGGTTTCCATCCGGGACTCTTTGAAACAGTCGGATGCGCTCTTCAAAGCTCTTTAACCGTGATCAACCATAAAAACCTCTTCATATTGTATGTAAATAAGTTTAAAGGGGATTTTTTTTTCATTTTTTTGAAGGGAATGCAAAACCAGTTGATCTAAAAAAGAAACATTCAAACGTAAAGCTCAAAAGATAAAACCTTAGCTTGCAAGATAAGAATTATTTATTTGTTTATTCAATGATAATACTAGATTATTCCTGACTTTACAGAGATTTATCTGTAATTTTGTTCCCATAAGCCAATGATTTCTCCATGAATACTGATGTGTTATTATTGCTAATTACTTTTGTGTGCGCACACAAATACGGAAGTTCAGCTAACAGCAGTAGGTAAATTTTTTTTGGAAAATATAAATAATTAAATAAGTAAAACAAAATAAAAAAAAACTTAAATGACACACACACTTTACCAAATAAACCTTCTAATATTGTATATGTTTTCTCTTTCAGATTGGAATATCTGCCCTTTTGGGAGTCGCCATAATGCTACTGTTCCTGCCCTTCCAATCGTATCTCGGCAAGCGTACCAGCGTTCTGCGCCTGCGCACCGCTTTAAGAACGGATGAACGCGTTCGCATGATGAACGAGATCATCTCGGGAATCCAGGTGATCAAGATGTACGCCTGGGAGAAGCCCTTCGGCAAAGTGGTGGAGCTAACGCGCTTCAACGAGATGCTGTGCATCAAGCAAGTGAACTACATTCGGGGTATTCTGATGTCGTTCGCCATGTTCCTGTCGCGCATCTTCACCTCCTCCAGTCTGATTGCCTTCGTCCTGCTGGGGAATGTGCTCAATGCCGAGAGAGCCTTCTTCGTCACTGCCTACTACAATATACTGCGTCGATCGGTGACCATGTTCTTCCCGCAGGGCATTTCCCAGTTTGCCGAGCTTCTGGTTTCTGTGAGAAGATTGGAGACGTTTATGCATCGTCCGGAAACTCAAGTCAGGGATAAATCGAAGATCACTAAACCGACTACCAAAGCTGAATCCTTGAATGGCGATAGTCCCAAGAGCAATGGCATCTCGGAGAATCTGATTGAGTTCAATCAGTTCCAGGCTCGTTGGGAAAGCCATTCGTTGGAACCCACATTGGAAGACATCAATCTGCAATTGGGACGTCGAAAGTTGGTGGCTGTGATTGGACCCGTGGGAGCTGGCAAATCTAGTTTAATCCAAGCTGTGCTCGGCGAACTGCCGGGTGAAAGTGGAAGCCTAAAAGTCAATGGCAGTTACTCATATGCCGCCCAAGAACCTTGGCTTTTTACGGGCACTGTGCGGCAGAATATCCTATTTGGATTAGAGTGGGATAAGCATCGATATCGCACTGTGGTAAAGAAGTGCGCCTTGGAGAGGGATTTCGAGTTGCTACCCTTCGGAGACAAAACTATTGTGGGAGAACGTGGAGCATCTCTATCAGGAGGTCAGAAGGCCAGGATTAGTTTAGCAAGAGCGGTTTACCGAAGAGCTGATATCTACCTGCTGGATGATCCACTAAGTGCTGTGGATACGCACGTTGGGCGCCACTTATTTGATCAGTGCATGAGAGGTTACTTGAGGAGTGAGCTCGTCATCCTGGTCACCCACCAGCTGCAGTTCCTGGAGCAGGCGGATCTCATAGTCATCATGGACAAGGGACGCGTGAGTGCCATGGGCACCTACTCCTCGATGAAGCGCAGTGGCTTGGACTTTGCCCAACTGCTGACTTCTAACGAAGAAGAGGAAGTGCTGGAGGATTTCGAGAGGCCATCCGGAGATGGTCTTGACCTTCTAAATGTGCCTTCGATGAGCAGAAGAGGCAGCAAGAACAGCAAGCCAAGCACTCGAAACAACAGCTTCACCTCGCTAAGTTCCATGGCGGAGTCGATGGCTCAGGAGGCTTCGCTGCAGCTTCAGGAGACTCGAGTAGAGGGCAAGATTGGTCTAGGACTTTACAAGGAATACCTGACCTCGGGCAGCAGTTGGTTTATGCTCTTCTTCATGGTCTTCCTATGCCTGGCCACTCAGATCCTTTGCTCAGCAGCCGACTACTTCTTGTCTTACTGGTAAGTGATAATCCTCTGACTAAGAAAAAAATTAATTCATTTCATGACTTCACAGGGTGGATAAGAATGTCTATGATGAGACAAGTATGAAGTCGGACCCGCAGGACATGTACTACTTTACCGCTCTCAATGTGGCTGTTGTGATCTTTACCATTGTGCGAACTATGCTCTTCTACAAAATGGCCATGAAAAGCTCCACGCAGCTTCACAATGCAATGTATCAGGGAATTACGAGGGCTGCCATGTACTTCTTCAACACGAATCCCTCGGGACGCATTCTCAATCGGTTCTCGAAGGATCTGGGCCAGGTGGATGAGGTCCTGCCCAGCGTTATGCTGGATGTGGTGCAGATTTTCCTAACCCTATTTGGAATCATCGTTGTGATTTGCATAACAAATCCGTACTACCTCATTTTGACGCTGGTCTTGGCTGTAATTTTCTACTACATCAGAGAGTTCTACCTGAAGACATCGAGGGATGTGAAGCGATTGGAGGCGGTGGCCAGGTCACCTATATACTCGCATCTGGGAGCCACTATTAGTGGACTTCCCACGATCAGAGCTTTAGGAGCTCAAAAGGAACTGATTGCGGAGTTCGACAATCTGCAGGATTTGCACAGTTCTGGTTACTATACTTTCCTGTCCACAAATCGTGCCTTTGGCTACTACCTGGATTGCTTCTGCACGTTGTACATTGTGATCATCATCCTCAACTACTTCATCAACCCACCGAAAAGTTCCGGTGAAGTGGGATTGGCCATAACCCAGGCGATGGGCATGACGGGAATGGTTCAGTGGGGCATGCGTCAGTCGGCGGAACTGGAGAACACGATGACGGCGGTGGAGAGAGTCCTGGAGTACGATGAAATCGAGCCGGAGGGAGAGTTCGAGTCGCGTGAGGGCAAGAAACCCCCGCCGAGTTGGCCAGAAAAGGGAGAGATCGTCGCCGAGGATCTGTGCCTGCGCTACTTCCCGGATCCCCAAGCCAAATATGTGCTAAAGGCTCTCAATTTCCACATTCGACCCTGTGAAAAAGTGGGCATCGTGGGACGAACTGGAGCCGGAAAGTCCTCGTTGATCAACGCACTCTTCCGACTTTCCTACAACGAGGGTTTCATCACCATCGATGAAAGGGACACGGCTGGCATAGGACTCTTTGACCTGCGCAGCAAGATATCCATTATTCCCCAGGAACCTGTGCTTTTCTCGGGAAGTATGCGGTACAATCTGGATCCCTTCGAGGAGTACAACGACGCCAAATTGTGGGAGGCGTTGGAGGAGGTGAAGCTGAAACCAGTGATCGCAGAACTTCCCAATGGACTGCAAAGCAAAATCTCCGAGGGCGGCAGTAATTTCAGCGTTGGTCAGCGCCAGTTGGTTTGCCTGGCCAGGGCGATTCTCCGGGAGAATCGTGTTCTAGTCATGGACGAGGCCACGGCGAATGTGGATCCGCAGACGGATGCCCTGATCCAGGCGACGATAAGGACCAAATTCCGGGATTGCACGGTGCTAACCATTGCCCATCGCCTGAACACGATTATGGATTCGGATCGGGTTCTGGTCATGGATGCTGGACATCTCGTTGAGTTCGGTTCGCCCTACGAACTCCTCACCGCCAGCGAATCGAAGGTGTTCCACGGCATGGTCATGGAAACTGGCCAAAACAGCTTCGATAGTCTGCTCAAAGTGGCTGAAAATGTGAGTAATTCAATACTCTTTTGTGACTTCCAGTTGCTTACACTTTGTTTTTTACTTTTCAGGCACATCTGGAAGCAAAGAAGCAAAAGTCGGAGTAGATTAGAACCGGGTTTAGTACATCGGAAGCCAAAAACGTCTCAATTCCTGGCTGTAAGTGCCTGCAATGTTGTACCTAATCCAGCCAGCTGCATTTAAGTTAGTTTTATACTTAAAGTATTATGTCTTTGAACCTTACATACTTATTATAGGGACACTCAATGCTTATAGATATATTGTAACTTTTAAATCAACCCAACGAAAGGTTAAATATACTGCTTATTTATATCTGAAAAATCGGGAACTCTACTGTTGAACTAATAAAATAAAGCTATTTAAAAGTATAAAGAACATATTTTTTAAAAAAAACTGGCTATAAATAGAATCCATATATGCATCCATAAACTGCAAATACAGTTTGATTTGTTGATTGCTAGTCTCAGAAAATAGATAACGTTCTTTAATTGGTAAAAGGTCTGAAAAGTTATATAAAGTTCCGAACATGTAGACCATAAATTTGTTTACGTTTTGATATTTTGATAATTTATGATCAGTTTTAAGCCATGAATCAAACCACACTTGAGTTTACTGTGGGATCATCAATAATTGGACTTCTTCGTTTCGGGGCTGGTGATCTGATCATATTGAGTCCCCGGAAAAGAAAGACGACCCAAGAGTCGCAGGCCAAAAGCAGGATGACTGTGAGTTGGGCCAGAAGTGCCTTGATTACGGATGGATGAGCTGTTGGCCAATTTTCGTGATGGGGAACAAACACAACAAAGAAGAAAACGACTGCGTTGCAGATGAGCATTACACAGGTGAAAATTGATCGGATCTCTTGACGACCAAAGGAGCTCTGTGCCTGCAAGCTGGCGAGGATTATCAGGGATGGAATCAGCAAGTGCACGAGGACCAAAAATGGCATCAGTGAGCTGCAGCAATCCGGCAGAAAGAGTCGGGCAGTATTGGCCAAATAGGTGAAGCCACGCATCCAATGCCCAGTTCCGATGAGGGAAACATAGAAGTAAAGCAGCAAGGATGCGGCGAAGCGGTAGGATAAGTGCAGATGTTTCGAGGGAGTGAGTGTCCTCTCCTCCTTGGCTGCCACCTCCTCCTCCGGTGATCGGCACTCCTCGTGGACTTCGCTTCCAATTTGAAACTCTATAATTAATCCTTGGGCGAAGAGGGATGTGTATGAATCACTGAGGAGTGCATGAACCGTCAGCAAGTTGAAGCAAATCAGTTGAAGGCGAGATTTCGGACTGGAACTCCCGCTGAAAAGCACAGATGCGAAGGCATAAAAGAGATACGTCCAATTGGCAGCCATTATATACAGGGGAAACGGTTTGCCCGTCTCTTTAAAGTAAATTCCAATTCCTCCAACGACGAGCATTCCTCCGTTGGCGATCCACACCCTCCACTTGTGATTCTCCATGAGGAAAAGGGGACGCAGCATCACCAAAAGCATACTGATGGTTTGTAGAATCACTCGACAGTTGGTGGTCATCAGGTTTTCCATTTTAGGCAGGGACCAAAGGAATCCACTTAGCAGGCAAACAAGTGCCAACCAGGCCAGAAATTTCGCCGAAGGATATACCCAACCTCGTCGATTGTAGAAGGCAACACACGATGCGTAGACCAGACTTAAAGGACAACTGCAGTAGAGCGTGACTATGATGACTCCAGCGGTTGGTATAATCCATATAAGATGAACTAGGGGTTCAATAAGCCAACTGCTTTTTATGGGCAATTCAGCGAGAGTCCAACACCAGATGCCAAAGGGAACAATCAGGCAGAAGATGGTCAAGAGTGAGGCCCACTGTAGGAAGACCAGCTCACCCAGCAAAAGTCCAAGGGAGATCAGCACGATCGAGGTCCAAGTGAGGAAACCCCTTCGTTTATCCTTCGAATCCTGTGAATCGCTTGATAGCTTCACCAGCAGATGGAATTGCCAACCTAGAAGAGCCATCGCTGTACTGAATACCAATGGACAGTAGTAGTATCCAAAGTAAGACTTCAAAGATTTCTGGGCCACTTTGATCGCCAGCATGCTCGTCTCCAGCGCCTTGCCGCCCCAACCTCTGTCCATGAGGTGATCCATCTGGTTCTGGTAGAAGGCAATCCTCTGCAGATCGAGATCACTATTCTTTGGCAGCCACTTGTGGAAAACTCCCCGCTCGTGGCGGCTTATTATTTCCTTGGCTTGGGTCAAAAGTTGCAGGGCATTAAGGTGCATTGCCTTCCTCTCGTATTCTCGGGATTCGTTGAGGAATCCGTGTGGCAACATGGCCAGATTATTCACTGGTGGCGGTAGGCCAATCAAGGCAGATAGCAAAGGAGCAAATTGGATTTGGTCTATTTTGTTTGTCTCAACATTCGAGGTGACCATTTTGGTCTTTGTAATGCCTGCACCCCAAAGGACAAAGGGCGTATTCCTTTCTTCATCCGAACCACCGCCATGGGAGCCTGAAAACCCAAGAAAGTTTACATTTAAATATGACAAAAACTCGATAAAAAGGATTAACTCACCCAAATTTGTAAGTCCGTGAGCCGAAGTGTACAGGTAAGTAGTTCTCCTATCATCAAAAGTGCTCTCAATCAAATCAAAGGCATCTCGAATATTTCTGTGGGTATTATGAAGCTTCTTTTGATATTTCAAGTCCAGGGGACTAGCACCACCCACATTTTTCAAGGACACGAATATCCCCAGCCTGGTGGAGTTCTTTAACTTTGTCAAGCAGGCATTATTCTTCAAGCGGTCTTGAAGATCGGAGATTTTCGAGAAACTCAAAACCCTTCCTTGATCAGACTTTAAAGTGCGATTGAAGATCGAGTCGAATTTAGCAGTGTGAAATAGGCATGGCTTCTCATAAAAACCAGCGAAGAGGGCAACTTGTGCGGATCCGGTGAGACTGGGAACATTTGTTTTTGATATACCCACCAGACCATCGCGCTGGATTATTTCCCTGAAATATGAAGCACGGCTGCAATTCTGCGAGAATAAAGTGTCCGCTCGAAGTCCTTCGGCAAGGAAGACAACCAGGCGATCGGCGAGTGGTTGTAGACCCATTTCCGGCATCGTCTTCTGCGGTTCCAGTTGAGTCAGTGGCCCAGTCTGATAGTATATCCGCATGAGGCAGACGAGCAGCACAAGGTGCACCAGCACCACCTGCACCTTCCACATTTCCATCAAGTTTTTCACTTTTCCCAGCAATCGATATGAGAGACGACGATACAACAGGCACAACACATTGGCAACAACTGAACACAGGCACCAGAGAAACGTTTCGGCCAACGCCAGCTTCATCTCTGAAATATTCTAAAATGGATTCTCGATCGATCCAACAAGTTTCTTTTAAACTAAAAGGTTTTGAAAAACCAAAACAATAAACAAGGTTTTTGTATATTTTGCGAATTCACTAAAAATTTAATTCCTTAAATAAGCATTACACATAAATAAATATCTATTTAATTTTCTATTCTTTTTTTTTTTTAAAACTTTCTATTTCACCTTAGGTACCTTAGCTTATTTTGACAGCAACTCTGCAGAGCAAGAAGCTTAAAAAAAGTAAGACAAAACAAACTTAAAGAATTATGCTGGAGTCATATAGGAGTTTCGCGCTGTTCCAGCTGCTTTTCCTCTTGTCAGTCATACTTATTTTCCTTCGCTCGACATCCACTGGGGATTTGGAACCACAGGAAATGGAACCGCTGAAGGAACCTCCGCCTGCCGATCGTCTTGTTGTTTTTGTAAGAGATGGACTTTCCGCTCAGACTTTCTTGGCCAATCGGTGCAGTAATGTGCCACTGCTGCGGGATCTACTTTTGCGAGAGGGATTAGTGGGTATCAGTCGTCCGGAGAAGACCACGTACCACCCGATATCCCCGCACATTTCCCTCTTTTCCGGATTAAATGAAGATGCTGCGAGGATAGCGCGTAACTGGCTGCGAAAACCGGATCCCATTGACTCAATATTTAATCGGTGTAACCAAAGTTTTGCATGGACCACTTCGGAAATACTTTCACGCTTTCCGGAATTGCACAGACCTATAGCAACGAATTACCAAACATTTTATAAAGACGTTACCAAATCCTTCGCGGAAATGGAAGACTTCGTCTGTGGATCTGTTAAAACGTTTTTATCCTTTGAGTCCCGGAACTTGATAAATTCTACTGGAGTAATATTCTTTATACACATGACTGGGGTAGAACCATCCCCCGAAATTCTTCAGAGAATTCAAAAAAATATTTATGATCTGTACGAGACCTTTGAAAAATTATTTCCCGATCAACGAACGGCGTACTTATTCACTTCTAATCTTGGAAATTCAAAAACTCATAGTGAGTTATATTTTTTTAATTTTAAATAATTTCTTCAGTTTAATAACTGACCATTTTTACTTTTAGGTAAATGCAGCTTTGCAGTCGAATCACCCTTTTTCATTTGGGGTTCTGGAGTGGCTCATGTAATATCAATGCCAGGACGAAATTTTGTGGCCAACGATTCGGGATTCCGGTTGCCCCTCCATGTCCTAAATCCTCCTCATCTCACAGCAACTATGAGTGCCTTACTAGGACTTCCACCCCCAGTTATCAGTCGTGGAATGCTGCCCCATGGAATGCTTAATGCCAGTTTGCTGTACGAAGCCAATGCCATGTTGATTAATGCCAAACAACTTCTAGCTCAAGCTCGTCGTATAAGGGAGCTCCATCCCAAAAATTTGCGTTCTTATTGGCTGGATTTCAAAATGATGGACAGCTTTTTGAAGAATTCAGATGTTCTTAAAAAGCAGCATCGTTTCAAAGCTCTTTTGGAATACAGCTGCAACTTTATGCCAGTGTTGATAAAGGAAATGGATTACTTTAAGGATTATTATAGAAGAAATTTAGTGATAGCAGTGAGCATTGCTGGGATCAGTTGGCTTTACTGCCTGCGATGTCACATTACTATAGTTAGGAAGTGCAGAAATCACATTGAAGTTCAGGAAATAACGTCTTCAACACTATTGGCGTTTCTCAATGGGTTCTATAAAGTACTGACTGGCCTGCTGATAGTCTTTATGATGCTGGAGAGGATTCCATGGTTGGTACAAGCGATTCTACTGATGCCTTCACTATACTTTAATGTGACCCTAAAAATCGTGACCGAAAAACCCAAAATGGTGTGCCGAAAAAGTTTAATTTCCTCCACTTTAATAGCACTGATCTGCTTGGGTGGATTTTTCCGACGTCACATCATAGCTGTGGGATACCTAGGATTCGCTGGATATAACAATAGAGCAGCATTTAAAAAACGAGGACTGCAATTTTACCTTTGGCTACTGTTACTCCTTGGACTCACTAGTGTATCGGTAGTTCCAGAATCGATGGGTTGTTCGCAGCCTAGAGCTTTGCTTTTTAGTATCCTGTTGACTCTTCTTCGTCCTTTGGCTTGCGGAGTTTACTGTAACCCAATCACCTGGGTAAGCAACATCCTTGTGCTCCTCTCTGCCGTCGAATTCATTGTGGTGGGTTGGTATCCCTGGGTCACGTACTTGGTGTCCTGGATATACTTAGCATTTTTGATCTTGTGGCAGCGACGCAGTCTTCAGGCCAGTGATTTGGTGTTCTTCAATTTAAGCACCCTGTATACCCTTACCTGCACCTCCTACGAATCGGTGGTTATTCAAATGCTGGCCATGGAACTCCAGATGGCTCTGCGGATGAAGCTGGAGAGAAATGAGGGGATTGGATCGAAGAATGCCGCCCATTACATAGTGGTGTACTGCTGGTACTCCCTTTTCGCCATTGGCAGCTTTCCGGTCTTTGATGACTTCCTGGACATCCTACACGAAACGTGTTTTGGCTACTTTTCTCTGACTTATGGCCTTGTTATGGTGATGAAGTTGCTGCTTCCCTGGCTGCTCATCCTTTGCGTCCTGGCGGGGAACTACAAGGATCTCGGCTCTTATGAGCGCCTGATTTTCGTAAGGCTGATGCTCATAAGCAGTGGCATGTCCTTGGTGCTTCTGCATAGGATTACTAGAGTTGGACCGTGGAGGGAGATCCTTAGCAGATTCGCAGAGTTTTCAGTGGTTCTAGTATTTCCACTCGTCTGGCTGTTGTTGTGGCGACTGGCGCAACTGAAACTTGGCTCCAAATGGATATTCCAGCTTCCTGGTAGAGTAACTATCCGTTAGTTGTAAATCTGTTAATATAGCTGGAATTCGTTTAAACAAATAAATTATAACTGACAATTAAAATTGTAATTTTAAAAAGCACTTTAAAACATCTGGCAACACCACACTTACTAAAAGCCCTAAAAGCTGCCACCTGTTTCTGGCCAATCATCGATAACTGAAACGGCTATCGCACAGTAGTTGCTTCATCGCCATCGCCAATCTCGCTCTCCCTTATTTTGCATAAAAAATAAACAAAAAGCTCTGCTCAAACTATGTTTTCACAATAAAATCCAACACATTTGCGGAAAAACGAAAAAGAACCCCGAAATAATCGTGAAATACAAGCTATTGCGCATTTTAAGGAAGCAAAGCAAACAACAACACGAGCAACAAAAACAACGGGAACAGCATAGCAAAAGGTGAGGCAAAAAGTTTACATGTGATTGTGTGGGGGCGGGCGGTGTAGAAACGGTACACTGTTAATAACAACAATTGCCCAGTATTGTGCACACACACTTAGATACTGCTTTACTCATTTTGGAGCGCGTAGGCAAAATGGAAGCCCAAATGTCAGCCAAGAAATGAATGAGTTAAGATAGTTTAGTCTCCAACGCACTAACACACCACCACCCACTACCTTTCTCCCCACCCACTGAGGTGACGCTACGCCGCCGAGGTTTACGATCATACTTTATATCACTCGCTGTTCAACGATAAGGGTTCTCGTTCCGAATTTAGATCGGTAGGCCTCGAAGGTCGCAATTGGTCGGCCATATCATTGTCATTACCAGATTTCAATTGTATTCGTGCATTGCTTTTGCAACGCGCATTTCCCCTTTCTCAGATTTTTCTTCCTGAACTACAAAGGGTATATTGGTTTCATATTCATTTCAAAAATTATATTGGGCGCTGATTCTTTTTTCTACACATATATAAAATATTCTGAACTAAAATAACTACGATATTGGATAGTTTCTGACATCACATTGATTATTTGCATAGGGCATTCCTAGTCTCGGTTTCTAAATATGCAGCCCCTACTTTGAGTGCTTTTGTCTTTCGATTGCAATTATTCAGCCACTTGTTCTGGCGCAGGCACAGTTGCCTCAATTGGTTGTTGTTTTTGTGGCTGCCGCTGCTGAGGTGAAGTGAGTTACTCATTAAGCAAACCCGAGCATCCGGCGATGCATGTGGAAATGGCAGTGCCACCGGCGGCAGCGACAGCCCGTGCCCCACTGTCATTAGACATGCGAGAATCGAGTGGATCTATGTTTATTTACTGCTACTTTCACTGTTCCATTCGCTTTGGAGGCATCTGCTGATGAGTAATTACCGCGCTCCACCGATTATGTCCGATTAGGGACCAATCAACAGCTGTTTACGACCCCCTTGGCTTTAATATTACAAAGTGAACGAGTGAGATTTCTGTTCAGTTGGTAAGCAATGCCTTTTCTGTATCTCTCGCAACTAAGCCGTAGTCTTAGCAGATTGGAACTGCTCCAAAAAGATGAAGTATGACCTAGAGCCCATTATATTTCATGGTCAATCAGTTATCACCACGAAATAGACTAATTTTGATAACGATATCAGCCGGAGATTGCCGAAAAAATAAAATGTGGGGGGCCATCAACAAGATTAAAACCGCCCAAAGTTGAGAGGGAAATAGTGCACTTAATTGCGCACTTGTTGTCATTCAAGTACTGAGAGGCTCTCCCTCGGCTATTTATCTATACATCCGTACCAGTGAATTTGCATACACAATTAGTGGGTGCTGTTAGTGGGCGTACAAGCTGATCGTGTAACGATTTGTGTTTTCAGTTCACAACCGCTGAGTCCGGAGAGCTGGCGTTGGCGATGGCCACGGCTCCGCGATCCCTGGACACCATCTCCCTCTGCTCGACCGTCTCCAGCTGCCCGGATCGGAATGGCTTCTATGGCGGCTTCCAGCGCACAGATAAGCCCAAGGAGCCGCTCTCCAAGGCGCAGATCATCGCCAGGGAGAAGAAATGGCTCTACATGATCGACAACTGGTCCATTTACATGTCCAAAAACTACAAAAAGGTGAGGATTGTTAAGCAAAGCATAACAGAAACAGAAATAGTCTCTGGTTTTACATTATCCATATTAAGAATAGTGAGCTCATTTTCATGCAAATCAGCTCGGTAAATACAGATTATTGTATTCGAAAGAAAAATATATTCTTTTCACAAGTGATTAGGGCATTTGAACCAAAACAAGGTGACGATTATTTTTGTTTGCTTGTTGTTTTCTTTAGAAGTTTTCACACCAACAACAATTCACTTAACAACTAATTGTTTTTCTTATCATTTAGATCCGAGATCGTTGTCGCAAGGGTATTCCCAAGTCGGTGCGACCCAAGGCCTGGTTCTATTTATCGGGGGCGTATCTTCTAAAGAAAAAGAACCCCAACGTATACCACGAGCTTCTCGAAAAGCCCGGCAACCCAACGACCATCGAGGAGATCAAGAAGGACAAACATCGCCAGTTTCCGTTCCACGAAATGTTTCTCGACGAGCAGAAAGTCGGTCAGATCGAACTCTTTAATGTGCTAAAGGCCTACTCGATATACAATCCCAAGGTGGGCTTCTGCCAGGCGCAGGCACCAATAGCCGCATTCCTATTGATGCACCTGCCCGCGGAGGACGCCTTTTGGGTCTTTGTCAGCGTTTGCGATGTGTAAGTTCAGTTTCTTAACAGTTTAGCTGCTCTGTACTAGATCAAGATTTTAAATTTAATTTATCTGTTCGCAGCTACCTGCAGGACTACTTTATACCCGGCTTGGAGGTGATCCAGAACGATGCTGGCATCCTGGAGGGCCTGCTGAAGAAGACGTGCCCACCCGTCTACCGGCACCTACAAAAGCACAAAGTGGAGCCGCTGCTCTACATGACCGATTGGTTCCTGTGTGCGATGACGCGCACTTTGCCTTGGGAGACTTTGCTGCGCGTGTGGGATTGTTTCCTGGCCGAGGGCATCCGGGTGATGTTCAAGGTGGCCCTGGTCATCATTGGTGCTTCGCTCAGCCGGCACAAGGTGAGGAAGACGTGCACTGGGCTCTGCGAGACGCTGGCCGTTCTCCGGTCCCCCGAGGATCACATTGTGGAGGAGGAGTTTATTATCAACAACATGATGCGGCTGAACCTGCGCGTCGAGGACTTCCAGATCGAGCACACACGCCAGAAAGCTCGCCGGGCCAAGCAGAAGGCGCAGCAGGAGGCGGAATCCAGCGGCTCTGGCAACGGACATCGACGCAACATGCCGACGCTGTGAAAAATGGCAACTACTACTACTTCAACAAATTGTTACTAAACACACACAAAAAACAACACAGCATAGTTGCATAAGATTTGTACGTTTAAAGTCGAATAGAAGACAGGTCGTGCACAAAGTGGATTGGAGACGAGTGACCGCGAACTGGTTCAGTCGGTTGGCCAGTCAATTACGGAGACATCATTCCATGCAATCAGTTTGCCTAATTTTAAGACAATTCTTTTGTTGAGCACATTCGGACTGGACTTGTATCGGTATTTGTTTTCGTATTATTCATTTAGTGGCAATTATTACGAGCGTGCAATTTGTTTATGCTTTTCAAAAGTATTTATTACATATTTATTATTATCGCGTAACATTAAACACTTTAGCGTTAGCGATGAGTTGAGGACCCCGAACATATCCTATGATTATCATCACCATCCCAAGGCAGCTAACACAAGGACTGGAGAATTATATAGTTTTGAATTTTTATCCGTATTCACTCCGAGACGAAAATGTTGATATTTACCTACTATAATGCGTTACGAACGACTTCTGTTGTGCCCCGAGCGTGAAAAGTTTGGAGGAGACCTGTTTTGTGACGGGTTTTGTGGCAAAATTAATATTAACTTTAATACTAATAAAACAAATTATACCGAACTATTAACAAAGATTTGTAGTTTTTTTCCCCGAAAAATATAAACGATATTGTCGCCCATTCCAAGGAGAAACTTGTAGTGCTATCGAATTAGAAGTCTTATTTATTAACATGTGCTAAGACCATCTTTTTGATTACTAATTTCTGATTAGCGCAAAGAGTCGGGTTTCGAAACCGTCAAAATATATTTATAATTCTTTTATTATAATTTTGATAATATCAGGTGAATTTCATTAAGATTAGACTGCAAATAAATAGCTTGAGTACTTACAACTATTAATTTAAAAGGGCGGCCTAGAAATAACTTAAGGCTAAGAGTCCAAACTAAAGTTAGTCTGTGTCTATGGGTAAACTTTAAAAATACTTTACTTAATCTCATGAAAGGGCAGCCCTTAAGAGCCGCTATCAGATTCTGCATACCACTGGAAGTACAGATGTTTGTGGAAGTGGATTGGGTTAATCTGAGTTGTGTGATAAAAAAAAGGGCAAATCTGAGGGGCAGAATTTTGGAGACCGCTATAAAAACTGTTATATCCCTGACCACAAGTTTTCATACCTGAATTGGACCTCTACCTTACTCGAACTCGATTTTAATTTGGCACTTATTTCGGTAATGCGGTTGACAAATGTGATTTGTTTTTTTACCAATACAAAATGTTTATAAATCGAATTCGTTTTAATGTAAAGCATACGAAAAACAATAATCCAAGTATAAAGATCACAAAAAATAGCTGCACTTTACAAACAGATTAAAAAAAACCCTTTAAAATGTGTGGTTACTTAAGAACCAGTGAGATTCTAATATGGTCCACAGATTACATTCCACCCCAAAGACTTGGTTATTTTATAATATCGAAACAATTCGTATGAGGTGATTCAGCCCAGCAGATACTGGTCCTCGAACTCTACGTCGTCGCTCTCGTCCAGCAAATGCGGTGGCAGCGGCATATAGGGTCCCGATTCCTGGCCAGCCTGGTTTTCTTCCTCCTCAGCGGGCACCTCGGCGGCCTCCTCCTGCTCCTTCTCCTCCAGGATGATCTGGTCGCGCAGTAATGCCATTTCGCTTTCGCCCAGCGCAGGATGGTGTTTACGGAGATGTTGCTGCAGCTCTCGCAGGCTGTGCAATTCGCCCGCCGATGTTCCAACCGCTTCACTGCTCTTCTTGCACAGTTTGCATCGGATGTAAGCCGCGTGCGGCAGGTGCTGAATACGATGGAACTGCAGCACCCACTGCCTGCTCGTCTGAAGCTCCTCGTTGCAGTCCTGGCAGCGGTAGAGATCTTCGCCAATCTTGGTCATGTGCAGGAGATTCAGCTTGGTAAGACCATGGTAGTCGTTGATGTGCTCGCGCCACTGCTTCATGCTGCGGGTTGTAAAGTTATCGCCGCACTGCGGACACGCCAATTGGTAGATGGAACGCAGACTTGGCTCCTGATCGGGATCATCTTCCTCCAAGTCCCGGTGCGGTCGATTGTCACAACGATTGGTGTCGCGGTTGAGATGCTTGAAGAACATTTGCTTGCGCACAAACTCGCCATCGCAGGTTAAACACTTGAAGGAGCGATGTGGCAGATGGCGGAACTTGTGCGACTGCAGCTGCCCGATGGCGCCCTTGGTGTGGGTCACAGTCACCCGCTTGTAGCACTCCAGGCACAGGTAGTGATGGTTGTCGATCTGCCGGAAGTTCAGACCCTCGCGGCTATTAAAGTTGTGCTGTTCCACGATGTGTTTGCGCCAGAAGGCGTGCGAGTCAAAGTTCTGGTTACACTTGGGGCAGAAGTACGTGATGAAGTCCAGATCCACGGCATTGTGATACGAGATGCTGTCCTCCAGGGTGTTCAGACCGGCAGGTCGGGTTGGCAGACCGCCGGGCTGCGGTTTAAGGGAGCGTTGACTACTCGCAGCGGATGCAGCAGAGGAAGAGCATCCCGGCGGAGAGGGCGCTGCCTGTGGCGGTGTGGGCACTCTTGGCTTTTCCCTACTCCCTTCCTTGTAGCGACCGAATGCATGCTTCGGCTTGGCGATCTTCAACGGGTTTTCCCTGTCGTAGATGCTGTGGCGGGCTCTCAAATGGGCAGCTATGTTCGGCTTGTGATTGTAGCAGGTGCCGCAGATCAGGCACTTGAGATACAGTCTGTATGGTAGGTGGCGGAAGTGATGGTCCTGCAGGCCCTTCAGCTTCGAGTTGCACACAATGTCCTTGCATTGGGTGCACTGGTAGCGATACTTGTCCAACTGCCGCATATTAAGATACTGCCGCTTGTCAAAGTTGTGCACCTCGTTGATGTGACGACGCCACTCGAACTGCGTCTTGTACTCCATGCCGCAGGAGGGGCACAGAAAGATGTAGTTCTGTTCCACAGTGGCAGCGGATGGGTCTGCGTTGGCCACGGCCTGTCGATGCCTTCTGCCCATAGTCTTCCTACAACGTTTCTCGCTGATGTGAACGCGCACAGCCGCCTGAGTGGGAAAGAGTGAGCCGCAGTGGACGCATTTGTAGCGATGATGCGATGCTTGCGAGGTTGATGGCGGCGGCGGTGGTGGTGGTTCAGGCAGTGCAATCGGATAGTCCTCCTCTTCCGCTTGCATTTGCTCACCAATGTCGTTTTCATCCTCCATGCCGCTTTGCTCCACGTCGTCTAGGTAAATAATCTCGTACGTTTCATTGGCCACAGTCACAATTTGCCTACGCGGCTGCTTGGGAGGCGTGGGCATCGAAGCAGGGCCAGCGGAACCGCCAGCGGACTTTCGTGGCCCGCAACCAACACGATGATGGGTGGCAAGATGCTTGACGAGACCCTTCCTGTCCGTGTAGGACTTGTGGCACTTGCGACACCTGGCGTACGCCTTGAATGGAAGATGCGTGATCCTGTGCTGCTGGGCATTCTGGATTCCATAGGCATTCGTAATGACCTTCTCGCACTCGGTGCACTGCAGCTGCCGCTCGTTGATCATCGCGAAGTTCAGCTTGGACAGATCGTTCATGTTGTGCGCCATCACTACGTGGGTGCGCCAATGCTTCTTCTCGATGAACTCCTTGCCACACTGCGGACAAAGGTAGTCGATGTGGGGCTCGTAAATGTCGTCGCTGCTGATGCGACCGCCACGTCGGGGAGCATCTTCAAAGTAGGGCGAATCCTCGTCCAATAAGGTGCCGTTTCCCTCGCCATTTCCATTGTCCTCGACGTCTTCATCCTCCATTATTACGGTCACTGCCGGATCCTCCTCCTCTGCGTCTTCGGACAGCAGCGAGTTCATATGGTGCGTTTGCAGCAGATGCCTTATAACTTCCTGATGATCCGTGTAGCCCTTGTAGCAGAGTTTGCAGCGCAGCCACTCAGGCTGAGATAAATGGCTGAACTTGTGGGCGCGTAGTGATTTGATGGTGTTGGGGATTACAATCTTAAATGTGAAAGAAAGATATGCTTTGAACATAACATAAATACATTTAAAGTCGACTCACCTTTTTGCACTCGAGGCACTGCATTTGCATGTCTACGCTCCGAAAGTTAAGCCCTCGTCGACTGACGTAGTCGTGAACAAATTCGATGTGCTGGCTCCACTGAGCGTGGGTATCGCATTCGGTTCCGCAGTCGGGGCACATGTAGTGGATGTAATCCTCGCACAGCTCGGCTGCACCTCGCATGCCAGTCGACTTTTTCTTGGCAACCTCCTGCGGAAACGGTTGCTCGAGGATACCAAGCTCATCGGCGTCCGGCTCGAGCACCTCGTTTCGCACCTCTACGCGATCCAAGTCTTCAGTGAAGTCGTTTTCCTCGTGAAAGCTCTTCTCCCGCTGCATCTGCTCAACGCGCGATTCCCGAACCCGTGTCTTGCGACCTGCAGCATTGTATCCCTCACGCATCATGGCCACCACTTCATCGCAATGAACCATACGCAGATGCACCATAAGATCTTGCCTACGATGAAAACATATATGTATAAGGAAGAAGTCATAGGATTGTTTTTTTCCGCATTACCTGTATTTGTACTCCCTCTTGCAGATGTAGCACTTGGTGCACCTGAAGGGCAGGTGCGTGAACTTGTGCTTCAGCAGGTTTTCCCGGCTGTGCATGGCAATCCGCTTGTTGCACTCCTTGCAACGCTGATAGAGCTTGTCCAGCGGCGTGAAATTGAGGCCCCTCAATGTGTTGTACTTGTGAATGTGGTTCATGTGCCGCTTCCAGTGGTCCTGTTGTCGGAACTCTCCACCACAAGCGGGGCAAATGTAGACCACACCCAGCTCATAGTTAATGGGAACCCCATTCTCATCGGTGGCATTTATCTGCGAGGTCGTGGGGCGTATAGAGAGTCCGGGATTTAATCTAGGACGACCCTGAGAACCGGGAACAGAGTGACGCTGCATGGGAGGACGCACTTGGGGGGCCATTGGTCCAGCAGGAGTTAGAACCGATGGCTGTGTCTCTGCAATGTTTACGATTGGCTCCATATCGAAGTCAAAGAGGGCATCGTCATCTGGATCGAGAGGTTTTGCTCCCTTGCTGCCGTCGCCATAGTCCTCCTCCTCCTCCTCCCTGTCACCCTCTTCACCATCCAGCAGGTCATCAATGGCGTCACCTGCTTCCAGGATCTCTGAATCCCCAGGAAAATCGTCGTTGTCATTGCCATACTGCTCGCTCTCTTCCAGTTCCGCCTCCCCAGTCTCCGGTTCACCCTCTTCGAAGTCCGAGGAGAACATCGATGTCCACAGATCCATGCCCTCCATATTTGGCCAACGAAGAAATGAGACTTTTTTTGTGCGACAGCTTGCGTCTTCAGCAGAGTCCGTGTGTGTGTGTGCGTGAGAACTAGTTTTCGTATCCTACTACTATGCCACAAATGCCCAAGACATCGGCTGCTTGATTTTTCACTTTGCAGAGCTCTACTGTCTTATTCCTGTAGCCAGCTTCCATCTTCACCGTCGCAGCAACCGCGCACTCTTTACTTGGTCCGTTTGCATCGACTTTTTGGCCACTAAGGCATTGGCAATTTGGCAAAAACTAAAACTTTTTGTAGTCTGCAAAAATCAGAGCCATTTTGTTTGCGGCGTCGCGAAGTCACAGGCCATGAATTTTCTACGACGGCGTGACGAAGCGTTGCCAATCAACCTTTGAGTATCGATAATACCAATAGCGTGACAATCGATAGTTTAACGGTATTTTTTTAAAGGATGGCGCGAAAAACTTGTAATGACAGTTATTAGTACCGGGATTACATTGATCGCTTTCAAAAACGAACAATCTCAATGCTCGTCGAGTCACCATAGAAACCTTGTTAAACATTGAAAAACAAAGTTGTCCCATAATTGTTATTTTTGACCGTTCACAATTATTTAGTCTGCCAACCTCCAAAATGAAAACCAAAAAGTATAGTTATGTACGAAAGATTTTTATTGAACAAAGATTCGCGCTTGAATTTTGTATTTTACACTTAATTAGTACGTGCACATTAGTACGTGCGGGCGTACCGTTTAAATTACATATTTAATGTAATGTAATACAATGTATATCATGTATGTGTTTATGTGAGTGTTCGTGTGGATGCGGTTGGTATAAATATAAATATAGATGTGGCGTGTAGTATGCAACTAGAATTAAATTTGAAGTCCAAGTGTGATTGAAGGACCCCATCCGGCCGCCTCCGCCGCTTGAATCCTTGCTTCCTGTTCCGTCCCACTCACACACACGCTCACACCGGGATGTAAATAGATGTCCCTACCTAACCGGAGTATCATATATAATACGTAGAATGCTGCGGGGTCGGGGATCGGATGCTTCAAAGTGGGCGTATCTTTTTTGGGGGCCACACAGGCTACACGCGCTTATGAAATTACACGAACTAAGGAATTTAAATTACAAATTTGCAATGGGGTTGTGGTGGTGGTGGTGGTTGGTATTGTGGTTGGTAGTGAGCGAAGATAAGTGCACCGTCGCCAACTAAAAGTGGTCGGTTAATTCTCGTTTGGGTGTACAGCATCGATGCTAATCCTCCGGCAGATTCAGATCGTTGAGCAATTGGTATTCTCTCGCTTAAATATTCGTTGGCCATCTCCCATCGATCCGCCATTCGACTTTCTGAGCTGTTTTGCATTGGATACTTGGGTACGGGGTTATGCGTAATATTATATGGGTAGTATGATTTTTTTTTTTTGCTTGTTTTCTTGGTTTTTTTTGCTTATGGTGTCTCGTCCCGACGACGGCCCCTCATTGCTTGTGCTGGGATCTGAGCAATTCCTGTATTTATTACCAGAGTCCCGACGAGTAGCCGCCTGGTGGGACACGGTTCTTGTTGATCACCGGAGTGCCGCCGTTGTTCGACTCCTGGCGCTGGTGGTAGTCGTTGGCTCCAGCCTTGTAGCCCTCGCCTGTGACGGGATTACCCTCTGTGAATATAAAGATAAAATATATTAGTAAATCAATGAATTTCATAATAAAAAAATCAATTCTACAAACTAAAAATAACTAATAAGTGATATTTATCTAGGAAACAAGCAGGTTTCATTTTAGGAAAGGAATTTATGTGGAACTTTTTGAAAACTATATCGGTATCGAATTTAAGATCTGTGAAATTTTATAGTGGTAACCAGCAGAATCACAGGCCCACCTCGAATCTTTAGCTTCTTCGGCTTGAGACCGCCAACACCATCCCCATTGAGACCGAGCCCAGTGATTGGATTGCGAGAGTCTTGCTTGCACTCCTGCGTCGGCTCCTTAATCTCGTTCGGACAGAGCTCCAGAGGCTCCTTCAAGTCCGGAGCACCCGACATCTTGTTCAGCGAAAACGGCTGATCGGGATTGTTACCAGAGTCGCGGCGCGTTTGATTGGCCTGGTCTACCTTATCGGATTCGGTGAAGGTGGAATTATCCGCTGGCACGTCCCCGATTTCGTTATCTTGGCACGAATTATCAATGGATAGGGCGGCGTCAGACGGTGCCACTGGACGGACGTCGGGCACAGCGGTCGAGGGACACAAGAGATCAAGTGGACTTGAGGCTTTGTTATCTGGACCAGCTGCTGGGCGGATGGGAAGGTTGGAGGATGGATCGGGGATGAGGACGAGTCCATGGGGACACTACAAGTACTCACTGCTCATATTGCGAAAGACTGAACCGGATCGATACAACACCGAGAGTTGTTAGCCAAGATTTTTTTCGAGTTTTGAGTGCGCGCGTGTGTGCAGTAAAAAATATATACAAATATATATATAGATATATAAATGGATAACTTATTTGGTTGGAAGAAATTTGGTATTGCGGCGCTGCTGTAATGATCGGTGTAGCTACTTTGTGCTCTGGGCTCGTACTGAACGGATTCCCAGCGGTTGGTTTGCTCACCCTTCTGACAGCTCTCCACTTGGATCGATTTCAAATCCAGTGACTACTGTTTGAAGCTAGGTTCATCGGACATATCTCACCTGATCTCGAGCCGCTGTTCATCTTGAGGTTCTCGGTGGAGGACGACACCGAAGACGAGGCCGAGGACACCGATCCGCTCTTGCCGTTGTAGTGGCCATTGGTGGTGGTCAGCAGCTTCTGGGCGGCGGCCGTCTCCCCGTTCTGCCCGCCGAAGGGAATGCTGCTCTTCATGTGGTTCTTGCCGGGCGTAATTGGGCGCGTTGGTTCCCCAAACAGCCGAGAGTGAGAGTCGACGGTCTTCTGGCCGCGACGTGGTGCATCACCTGCTCATCATCGTCATCATGGAATGGTCATCACACGGTGGGTTCATCAGCATTTGCAGGGTAACAAATCCAAAGGAAAAACAAACGAATTGGGGAAACCGAAGAAAATAAAACATTGAAATTAGTGGAGTTGTGGTGGAGTAGAATGTTTAAATTAGTTTATTGACTGTGTTTTTAGAAACATGTACATAATTGGGACAGTGGATGTGGACAGTGGACTAACAACAAAAAAGAATATGCTAAATATTTTTAATAACACTTAAAATCATTTAAATGAATTGGTATAGGGTCTAAATGTATGGAGAAATCTTTTTAAATTTTTATAAAATGTGTGAAGAACTTTTACTGACATTTTATAATTAAAATCTCTGATCACTTTAAGATAGTTATGTATTAATGTAAGCTTGTGAAATTTCTAATTTTTAAGATAATGATAATATTCTTGAACTGCAATGTTAAAGGAGCACTTAAGTAAATACAATTTAATATCTCAATTTTGCAATTAAAGTTTGGTGTCGCTCTTCTTTGTGTGCTGTTGTATGGCAAAGGTTAAACAAAATTGAAAGAGAAGAGCCTTGAGTTCTTTTGGCTTTTATCTGGTTGAACTCGAAATGTCATCGGCAGCAGGTGGAAAAAGGAAGCAAGAACCGGTTGGAGTTGCAAGTTCCAACTTCTCGAGTGGGAGTGGGTCAGTATTTTTCTGTGGGAAGTGGGCTGTGAGCTGTGTTCTGGGTTTATTGGGGTGTCAGTGCGAGCTGAGAACTTGCGTTTTAACATAAATTAGCACAAAACTCTGACGACAACGTAAACAAGGTGAGAACACAAAGTGAATTTTGGATTAGGACTCTGTGCATGTGTTGTTGACATGAATTGGGAAAAAGGGGAGACATAGTTCAAGTACCAATGAAATAGAATCTGTGAGCTCCTTGTCGTACTGCAAAGATACGTAGAAAAGAAAAGATATAGAGCGGGGGGAGGGGAAAAAAGAAGAACGAGAACGGGAAGAAAACGATAGACATTTAATAAGCATTTTAATTAGACCAGAATCCACACGTATCATCTAAAGGACATATCATCTTTTTGCACAATTTTCCAATCAAATAATAGAACAAGCAACTAAAGTTCATATTTTCTTTTCGATTGCTGGGGATTACACTTGAATGGATAGGATTACAGGTTGGTATTCTAACCCGATGCTTACCGTTGTTTTTCACTCCATTATCCTTCTCGGCAGCGAATATGTTGGAGGCCATGCGATTCTTCACGTTCCTGGGGGTCTGCGGCATCTCCGATCCAAAGATGTCGCTCGATCCGCCGCCCGGGGGCCTCATCACCCTGCAAAAAGTAATTGAAAAAGCGAGATAGACCCATTAATTACAAGCTCATTCTTTTACGCTTCGTAATTGATATGGCACAGTGCATAATTCACAAATTTCCACACGCTCGCCGACAAGGAGGAAAAACTGTTGCAAGTGGCGGCGGTGCGGGGAAATGCATTTATTTAATGTCTGTGTCTAATCATCATCACCGCGGAGATGGAGTTCGAGTTGTGAGTTGGAGTTTGAGGAGCTTAAGATCGAACTGGCTGGGTGAGCACTCAATGGGCATTAGAAGTCACGCCAAGATGCATCTCGCCTCGTCTTCCAGCTGCATCGCAATTAAGTGGAAACCCTGGCATAAAGAATTGTGCAGCCGAGACAAAAGGCTGGCCAAAACCAAAAATGTTATGCTTTGTGGCATTCACCAGCCACTCAGTACTCAGTCAGTCAGTGAAGTCAGCTAGTCAGTCAGTCAGACAGTTAGTCTGTTAGTCCACGCAACGTTGCCCAAAAACCACGAGGAGATACAGTGTCCGTCGAGGCTGTAAGACCAGGCCAGGATGGTGGCAAATCTCTGCGGGTAATCGTTGTTTATTAAAATTGGCTTGGCCAACGCAGCAGGACTAAATGAAAATAATTGTAAAAACAAATCATAAATTTGAGAAGCGGAAAATTGCTAAACTTCGGATACAATACTGCACTCACGATTTGCCGGTTAAGAAAATAAATGTTTTTTATTTAAATTTTGAACATATTGAATTATGTTGATATTATATCTATTCTTTATTTCGGTTGCTTGTAAGCTCTATGCCATGTCATAAAAAAGGAAACAAATATAACAAATCTGTTCCCTTTTCCAATAAACATTGATGGAAATTGGTGAAAGCTTCCTAAAAATATAATAATTAGGTAAATAACAGAATACAAATAGAGTTCGGTAGACCTAAACTAATCCCAAGATCATTCATTATTTTTTTCCGATTTCTGATTTGCTAATATCTTTCATTCCCCTCGTCTGTCTTCACCTCAGACATTTGATATTTTAATTTGAGCAAGCTCGCAGCTGTCTTGCATTTGTGAACCGCACTGTCAGCCATCGAAGACTTTGGCCAACCGAGTGTATCTCTGAGGTTTCTATGAATGCATTTTGCTGCCGCCAGCATGAGACGTCAATTAAACTCTGCAACAGTTAGCTGAACTGTGGATGCTACCAGCTTCTTTGGCTCTCCATCTCCAACTTAGTTAAAAACTCCAACTTATACCCAACTCCGACTATTTCTCCTTGTGGTGGTGGCTTTTGTGTTTGCCCCCAGGCTCGGAAAGCCAAAGACCATTCACTTGTCAACATTTGCTTTCGGTCGCTCTCTTGGCCATTTGCTATTGCCATTGCTATTGCTTTTGGTAGTTTACTACTGCGAGACGCCTTCCTCGGGGCGTCAATCAAATCAGCGGGCTTTCAGTGGGCTAAAACGATTGCGTTTTTATGCACCATCTGCAGCAACGCGACACGCACTTCTTTTCCTCGGAGGAAAGTGAGAGTCTCTCCGCTCGCTGGTGAATTCCAGCTGCTTTTGTTACACTTTTGTGATAATTAACGAAATTGCATAGTAATTACAACCGATTACTGTTGGCTAAACACGACGCTATAGCTGAAGCTAAAACTAAAGTGTGGCGCCACAAAAACAATGAGCATAACTAAGGGGGGCAATTCCCAGTTTAGCATTCATTTCGGGTATTAAAACTTTCTACTGATAGAATTGAGTGAAGTGCAGCAGCGGAAAAGGGAAAAGTGGGTGGTGGTTGGATGGATAGTGGATGGTTGAAGGTGCGTCGTCTTCCTGCTAGAAAGTGCAACCCAAATTGCGTGCCTCGGCGGAAGAGGAAGGCCTCTGAAGTTGCTGCTGTTGTTGTTGTTGCTGCTTTTGCTGCTGTTGCGGCTGCGCCTAATTAATTATACTAAACCAAACAGCGGCTGCCTCTTCGGCGAGCTTCTCGTGGCCCTCCAAACATGACAAAGCGTCAAAGCGCAGGCCGCAAAGGCAAAACAACCGTTAAACGGGCGCGGCAAGTGTGTGAACTGCTTGAAAAACGGGGAAACAAAGAAGGGGGAGGCAATATAGCTACACTTGAGGAAAAACCACACCTTAAACAGAAGTACATGCCTTAGGAAACAATCAAAATAAGCCTCGAAAACCTCACTGTTGTTATATCAGTACTACTCAAAATACCTAAATACTCAGAAACCAAAATCTACAATATATTATTTTTATTAAATCGTGTTTTGAAGTACAAATATACAGTAAGGTTTCACCTGTATCTATAATTTAAGTATATTTATACATGATGTTTTTATAATATTAATTATAATTGTTTTAACAAGTTAAATTGTCAAAGGAACTGTTTTTATGTTTTATATCAATCATCTTGTTCTGAAGTTAATACAACTAACCATCACATTATTGTCACCCAGCCATAAAACAAAATCTTGCGTGTTGCATTTAATCTACTCTTTCAATGTGATCTGCGATAATGATTTATATCTTACCATCCTATTGATACCTCATTTTGCAGAGTGGCAGTGTGTTGTCGCGTGGGGAAATCACTAAAATGGCTCACACTCTTAGTTCGGGTTGGTTTGGTGTGTGGGGTAATTGCGATCATAACTGTCGCACTCTCTATATAAGCCAGCATGTGAGTGTGTGTGTGTGCAAAGTGTTCTTATTAAAATGTCTTCGGGCTTGTTAGCCCAACCAGCAGAGCGTAAAACTCTACTCTTTCTTTTTCTTTCTTGACTTTTTTTTGACAAAGACTTGTTTCTCCTGCTTTGTTTTCATTATTTTTCTTTCTTTGGATTTTTTTTATTTTTGGACCGGCAGGGTTGAGAGGAAAAACTAACAAAGCAACGGTAAATGGGCAATTTTTGCGCAAGTGACGAACAAGTAATAATTATTTAAACAGTTAAGCCGCCATCGCCAGCCAGCCAGCCAAGTGGACGGAGTCTCATTCATGCATGTGAACCGAACCTACCAACTAACTAACTTAACTTAGCTTACCGAATGCGGCCCGATCAAATGGAAAGCGAAAGTTGCGTCTTTAGCCCATGCCCCATGCCACATGCCCCATTCGGGGACAATATCATGCACTTATTGCCAATGCGGCGAAGATATGCCGAGCATCTTAATGGCCAGCTAGTTGGCCAGTTAGCTAGTTAGCCGGGCCAAGACTAATTACCATTATCCACACGACACTTTTGCGAATTTAGACAATAAAAAAAAGGTCACCATTGTGTATGGTGGCTCTGCCAAATTTGGAGGCTTTGCTCTCTTAATGGCCACAGGTTGTACATTCAGTATTTCCATCCTCTAACCATTATTGTGCGCGGAAAGTGTCGCAGTTTATTTTGGCATGGCTTCCGTTTGAGCTGGTTTTGCTTTTGGCCATTTACTTTCCACACGCACGGTCTGGCTTCCCTGGAATCCTACTCCTCCAGCCAATGGGCTAATTCGCCATTAACCTATTTGTACTGCTTCGCTATTTAAGCTGTTCTCCTTTCAACATAAACTACCCTAAGCCATAACATTCAGTTTGGCTGTCTACAAGTGTTATTTACGACTTTAACAATATACTATGACTAAAGGTGGTTATATCATCAAAATGCTGATTATTAAATTACAGCTGCATGAAGTTATGTTTATTTAAAATAATATAATATACAACTATTTGCTTTAAATTGAACTAAAATGTTTAAGACTTATAGTTAACCAAAAGTCAAAGTTAATGTACCACTGTACTTCATTTGCATTTGCCTGGGAACCCAATAGCTTGATTCAATTTGAAATATGAGCCAAATCGAATGGCCCAATCTGGCTGCACCCCTTCCCCTCCGCCTCACCTCCCTGCTCCTTCGATCATTGGGGATCATTGGAAAACCTTTCACACACCAGGCGCCGCGGGCAAAAGTTGACCAAGTCGGGAGATCTGCGACAAAACGAGACCGCCAGGTGGAAAATGGGAGTGCGCAGGTGGCTCCCAGTTGGAGGAGTCCGAGGGAATTGGCCTCTCCCGTCTTGGGTGATGACAAAAATTAATGTATATCGTGGAGAGGGGGAGGAGGAAAAGGAGCACCTGGGGAGGAAGAGGCCGCTCCGAGCGAAAGGTAATGTGGCATGGTGCCGCAAACAACAACAACAGAAACAACAGCGAAATTTGAAAACAACCTTTTCGGGTAAAAGTTGTTCGGGTTGTGCATATAGAAAATACTTGGCTCAAAGTGATAGTTGTCGCTCTGATTTAGTTTGGGTTTAGTTTTTGTGATTTTCCTCTCCACATAGCCTTTCTTCTTCGACACCGCTCTAGGGTATTTTTCCCCCATTTTCTCCACCTCTCCGTTTCCCCCCCTTTTCTTTATCCGCTGCTGCGATAATTGTTTTATGTTTGCACACATATCGAAGGGGCTTTCCCAGATTTCCCTTTTACCAGCCGCCAATTAATTACAACACCAAGGGGGCGTGGCCAGCCCAAAGTCCAAGCCAAATCATCGTCGATATGCACCAGCATTTCGTTGTATGCCTCTCGATTTTAAATTATGAAATTAAATTAACTTTCTATTGCGCCTGACCTGATATAAGTTGTACGAGAAAGGGTGTTTAATCGGGGATATTATAAAAATGTTTAATACTTTTCTCACTACATTTATTTTTAATCATTAATAAGCAATAAACTACGTTATCCGTAAGCCACATCGGTTTAAAATTGTTTGATTAAATCGGAGTATTTTCCGGTTTTCATATCTTTTCAATCCAAAGTAAAAGAGCATTTCCATTTCGAGCTGTCGTCCACTATCGCTGAGCTTCATAAACTTCAACGCCAAATTCATTACGACAGTTTTCTAATTAACCAACTGTCAAAATTCGTTTTTACTTTGCGCACAAGTAAAAGTTGAAATCAGAGATCTGCTTCCTCTTCTTCCGCGGAAAAGCTGTTGGAAAACTTTTTCTGTATTGACAGCGTGTGGGA